TTTTTTTTTTTTGACACTGGGAGATCCAAATTAGCAGCACAGGGAATGGGCGCATGTGCTCTGTGTGCAGTTTGCAGCACCTCAAGTGTTCTCATTTGGACATAGGAATACCAGGCAAAAGCAAAGGATCTGTTAATGACACTGGTGTAGTTACCTTCTGAAGGAATAGGGGAATTCTTCAGAGGTCAGATACTGCAGTGTGAAATCTGCTGTACTTTTAAAGTGGATAACCCAAAACCTGAAAGGTGACTATGTATTTAAAAAAAGGGGGGAGGGCTGTATTCTTTTTACTACTCCACCATTTTCTCCAGGGTACCTTAACCTGGAATGGAATACTCACAGAAATACATATCAGCATAAATAAATACTTAAGTATCTCTACCCTCTTTTCAAAAGAAAAGTTGAAGACAATCGTCTATTGTAGCCCCAAGACAGGGCTTAACATTTTACTTCAGCTATAAATTACTTTCCCTATGGGTTGGATAGCAGCCCTCAAGTTTCAATGTACTGAGAAAATAGAGCTGGTTGCTGTAGAGAGCCTTTTAATTCTAATGATTTCAAAATACATGGGCCCTTCTTCTTTCTACATACATATAGCCAGTTCCAAAAACAAAATTATTAAATTAGGCTATACATTCCATAAAGATGTTTACTAGGGATTCTTTTTACCAAAGGGATTCAGAAACTAACTGTGAAACACCAATTCCAACAGAAAATTATGGAACAAAGATTTTAACAAAGAAGGTTTAATTGCCAGACTGGTAATTAAAACAAATATATAAATAAACAAACAATATGTGCTGAATTACTGAACTGTAGAACTGAATTATGGGACTTTCTCAACAATAGGAGAGATGAGCCTGAATAGAATGCTAAGAATATTCTTGCAAGCATAAAGGTAACAGAGATACCTTTTTTGAGAGTGCTCTTTTTTGAGATTTTTTTTTAAACCAAATAATATCAAGTAGCCTCAATGTATTCCTTGTAGCTGGCAGACTAAAACTCTGATCTCTCTCAGACTGGGCAAAATTGCTAATTCCCAGTTTAATCATGTTTTTGATACTTTGGTTTCTTCACTGCAATTACAAAGTGATATGAAGTAGTTATGCCTCTTATCTGTGATCTTACCAACCTTACTAGAAAATATGTTCTAGTTAATTTAAACTATTTCATTTGTGAAATGATATTTATTATCTATATCATGACAGCCATAAGTTAAAGGATCACCATAAAAAATTAACTAAGTGTATAGCATTCCATTTAGAGTCCTGGATAAGATGTAAGGATAAAATGATTTTCAGTTATACATCATGGCACTCTCTCTCTGTCCTAGGGCACTCTCTCTCTGTCCTAGTAGAAAATTAATCAGCTGCCACTTCCTATTTGCCCTGTGACCATCACATGTATATTTCAGGTCATAATCTAGTACAATGCCATCTGTCCTGCTCCTTATATAAGATGGTTATGCACCTGAGATGGGAGAAGTCTGTTACACAAAAGGATATGATACCTTTTCTGATTCTGTGTTCCAGACTACATTCCACCATGAATTAAAGGAAAATTACCTTATCAAAATCATTTCAATAACACTGTGTTTCTTATTATTGTAGCCATCTAAGGAAAATAACTTCCATTCTGGTGGGCTCTGGATTCAAGATGTGGTACTTAGATTCAAACTGTGTAGACAGATGTCATTTTTATTACTAGTCTTTCAGCCAAAATTAGACAATAGAACTATATACCAATGGGAATATATCTGTGACAGAAAAATGTTACCTTTTACTCCTTGCTGGCCAGACATAGTCAGTGGTAAAGTATGCGTAGAATGGATGACATGAGATCCTATGGCTTTATTTGCCTGCTGCGGATGATGGTAAAGTTTTGCACCATTGGCACTCTGAACTGGGATCTGACAGAGTTTACCAGTATAATTAGGAGGGCACTGGCATTTATCTCGAGAGCTGCACTGGCCTCCATTCATGCACGGAAGGTGACAAATAACTGAAATGAAGAGAAAAAAAATACAGAGATTGTGTTAATTTCTCTTCAGCTGCAATTCTTTTTTTGGCATTATTTGATGATATAACATGTTGCTGCTGATAGCACTGAGGGAAATGGTCTTCACATCTTTTGGCACCCATGAAAGGGCCACCTAGGCAGGGCCGTCCCTGTGGGGTGGCAAATCAGGGTGACCGCTCTGGGCCCCATGCTTTGGGGGGCCCCACGGAGCTGGGCAGAGCGGCCGTGGCGACTGTACCACCGCTACTGGCAGCAGCTTCTTTGGGTCGGGGCATGTGGGATCAGAGTGCGGGCCAGGCCCCGCATGAGCTGATTTGTCCTAGGCCCCCCACCCTGCTCAGGTCAGCTCTGTACCTAGGTGAGGCAGGTTTTTGCTTGTTTAGTCTGCTTACAGATGTGAAAAAAGCTCAAATAACTCTTTACTTTAAGTTTGGAGTGCCCCCACACCAAACACAGCACATGCGCAGAAGAGGCATTGCGTTAGCTGGACCTGGTTCGCCCAGCGTCTATATAGATTGCACTTCACCTAGGCTTTTTGGTGCTTTTATCTAATAGTAGATTGAATCAGCTTTAGACAAAAACACCAAAAAAGCCCCGCTGAAGCACGTGATCTATACAGATGCTGGGGAGTTGGGTCAAACTAACATGCTTCCTCTTCCAGTAAAGTGCTGTCATTTGTTTTTATTTCATGTCTGCCAGCAGCCTAAGTGGCAGGGCCACTCACCCTGCTTGTGAACTCTGCATGGTTGCATGTTTCTCTCCTCATACCAGGCAGACATAGTATGCACATTTCTTTCCTAGGAGTCTATTGTACTACATTTCACCATAAGACAAAAATAATTCTGTGTCCAGTAGCATCTTCTCTCACTGTGGGGTATCACTTCCTGCAGAACCTAGATCACCTCAAAAATCAAAGTTCCGTGTACTCTCTCTGGAGAGGGAGGATAATGCTAGGGGGAAATACCCAGTTTTTCTTGGGAACCTGGCCTGCTTTTCAGTATAGTCATTTTTTTTTCCTGATATGAAAAAGTGTAATGATGATTGAAATACTAACAGTTATATCAATAATTTCTGAAGCAAAAAATTCCGGTTACAAAAATGCATGCAAAGAGCTACCTATTGATGATTATTCTGTGCCAGTTTGTAGTTTTGTGGCTCTATAATTTACCCAAGGAAACAAAGAAAATATCGATGCAAAGCATAATCTTGAATCCAGAATCCAGGAAAGTGAACATTTACCAATCAGCAGTCTCTGCTGGGGGGACTGGGGTGGTGCAGGTGCTAAGGTTTACATTGGACAGTCTCAAGGTCAAAGCCATAGCAGAAACACTCATGGCATGGCCTTTCAGATTCCAATGAATCTGTGACTTCTGCTAAATACCTTGTCACAAGGACATTAAAAAGGAAAGGAAGTGGTCTCTGCTTTGTTTTTCCCCCGAGGTTCATTACTTAGTCTAAAAATATGATGCATTACTTTAAATTCTACTGGAATCTATTTTGTTAACATTTCAGAAATTAAATCAATTAGAAGATAAAGGATGAACTTGCTCCAGACAGGGTAATGTCATTTTTACATAACTATGAAGTCTGTGGAGGGAAGATAAGAATATTTAGTTGTAAGCCTTAATACAAGATTCTGGCTTTAAACCACCCAAACTTTCCAGACATGGTATTTGTTAGAGTTATATTACTTGATTATAATAAACTATAGTGTCTTTTATGATCTGAAAGCTACAGAGAATGTCAGGTTATATGTATACCTTGTGCTATTTCTTGTGGTATAGTCTCTTGTCAACCACTGCACATTGCTATCTTACTGCTACTATAAAAGGTCAGTATTGGAAAAAGAATGTACATCTTGCCTGCAGTAAGAAGACAAAGTAGGAGGTTTCGCAGTCTGAGGAGTTCCAAATGAACTGTGTAATGCACTTGGATCTTACAAAGCATTGGAGAAATAAGCAATCAGATTGGCTCTCAGCTGAATATTATCACATTATATTGACAGGATTTGGAACATGTTTGCCTTATCACCAGATAGGTATTACTACGTCTGCATACAAATGTAAACAATTGAAATGTTTTTCCACTCTGTTCAACAAATACACATTTCATAATTTTTGTCTGCTTAGCTCATATTTTCATTCTATATGAACTGACTATAAATGTTCCACAAACTGCAACATTGTGAATAAGCCTAAAAACATCTATTGACCATTTTAACCGAAGTCTCGTTGTTTGTGCTGGCAGGCTCTTGTTGAGGCTTAGCTGGGACATATGCATTTGGTTTAAATACAGACTTTTCTCTTTAAGGTCTTCAGCAATCCTATAAACATCAGCTTCTCAATACGACAGCATGGCACCCTATGACCTTCAGGTACATGTAAAGATCTGTCTGTACTGCTCCCTCTGGATGATTAAACCCTATGATAAAAATGCTTTATTTCGTACAGAAGTAAGGACTGTTTAGAAAAGAGGTTGCAACAACAATGTAGTGCAATGTGGATGACGCAACAGTTTAAGATCACAAGGGTGTGGAAAAAAAATTCTATACTTTTCTGTGAGGCTATATTCATAGAAAGGCATTTTTAGGTGGGAACTGGCTTTCTCATTGAGATGAGAAACCTGTCATTCCTATAAGTTCTTTCTCCTTTTAGGTAGTGAAATAATGGACCATATTCAGCTCTTCACTAAATGACTATAAATCTACAGCAGTAGTTCTCAACCTTTTTAGATTCAAGGCACCTGTTGTTAGACTCAAGGCATAAAAAGTCAGATTGGTTTTGACACTGGATTCGTGTACAACACTTGTGTTCCACTGACTTGAGTGTAGCTGCACTGATTTATATTTGCTGAGGTTTTTGCTTGTTTCATGAAAATACATTTTGAATTATTCATCATTAGTATCTGAACATAAAATACAAATCCATAACAGATACGCTTGCACAGTCAAGTAAAAGTAAATACCATGCAACTTCTAGGTTCAATTAAAGCAGCTTAAATCTCAAAAAACATAGAATTCTGAGAGGAATATTGTTTGTGAATAATCCAATTGTAAGCAATTTGAAGACTGAGATGTTATTAAATAAAACCATTGCTGAATGATTGTGAATAATACGCACACTTGTAGATATTGTGATGTATTGTTAAGGAACTTGTAAAAAGACCAAGGGCTTTAACATGCTGCACAAATCTACTGCTATAATTTCTGCAGATCTGAAATTTCAGAATTATTATTTGGAGAGTTAAGTGGACAGGTGACAACAAAAAAGAAAACTATTGCTCTGGCCTTTTCTTTTACTGATCAATCACAGGTTAACAAAGTGGAATGGACTCCAAAGTGCAGACCCTTTTAAGTGGGAACCAAATCTTAAAGCCAGTATTACTTTAAACAGCTCAAATTCAGGTGAAACAGTTGTTTGTTTTTATTTTCCATAAGCCATTGAGTTTATGGAATGTAAAATAAACATAACTGTTGAATACTGCCAACAGATGCAGGGGATATTATGGACACAGCCCAACCAACAGACATGGGCAGGACATTAAAACAGTGAAATTTATGCATAAACATCAGTGATTGGCATCTTGATGCAGGATCCCTGAAACTACAACTTGTTTGTCTGTAGACTGATTGCCTCATTTTATTTGAAGTGAGCAGCAAAAACTCTTTATTTTAATAATGACCAGCTAATCATTTGCAGTTCTCTAATATCAATGTGGAGATATTACTATATGTCAAAAACAATTAAGGCCTGTTCCTGAATATGCCACAAAAAGGAAAAAAGAAGAAATGAATAAAATACACTAATGGTGGTAACCATTGAGCCTCCTGGACCATGGTGTATGTATGAAGCCACCCAGACCTTTGATGCAAATGCCTAGGCAGGATTTTTTTTTTTTTT